AGAGGTTTCTGGTATAGAGAGGTATAGAGGTGTCTGATATAGAGGTGTCTGGTATAGAGGTGTCTGGTATAGAGGTGTCTGGTATAGAGGTGTCTGGTATAGAGGTGTCTGGTAAAAGGTGTCTGGTATAGAGGTGTCTGGTATAGAGGTGTCTGGTATAGATGTGTCAGGTATAGAGGTGTCTGGTATAGAGGTTTCTGGTATAGAGGTGTCTGGTATAGATGTGTCAGGTATAGAGGTGTCTGGTATAGATGTGTCAGGTATAGAGGTTTCTGGTATAGAGAGGTATAGAGGTGTCTGATATAGAGGTGTCTGGTATAGAGGTGTCTGGTATAGAGGTGTCTGGTATAGAGGTGTCTGGTATAGAGGTGTCTGGTAAAAGGTGTCTGGTATAGAGGTGTCTGGTATAGAGGTGTCTGGTATAGATGTGTCAGGTATAGAGGTGTCTGGTATAGAGGTGTCTGTTATAGAGGTGTCTGGTATAGAGGTGTCTGGTATAGAGGTGTCAGGTATAGAGGTGTCTGGTATAGAGGTGTCTGGTATAGAGGTGTCTGGTATAGAGGTGTCTGGTATAGAGGTGTCTGGTATAGAGGTGTCTGGTATAGAGGTGTCTGGTATAGAGGTGTCTGGTATAGAGGTGTCTGGTATAGAGGTGTCTGGTATAGAGGTGTCTGGTATAGAGGTGTCTGGTATAGAGGTGTCTCGTATATAGAGTTGTCTGGTATAGAGGTGTCTGGTATAGAGGTGTATGGTATAGAGGTGTCTGGTATAGAGGTGTCTGGTATAGAGGTGTCTGGTATAGAGGTGTCTGGTAAAAGGTGTCTGGTATAGAGGTGTCTGGTAAAAGGTGTCTGGTATAGAGGTGTCTGGTATAGAGGTGTCTGGTATAGATGTGTCTGGTATAGAGGTGTCTGGTAAAAGGTGTCTGGTATAGAGGTGTCTGGTAAAAGGTGTCTGGTAAAAGGTGTCTGGTATAGAGGTGTCTGGTATAGAGGTGTCTGGTATAGAGGTGTCTGGTATAGATGTGTCTGGTATAGAGGTGTCTGGTATAGAGGTGTCTGGTAAAAGGTGTCTGGTATAGAGGTGTCTGGTATAGAGGTGTCTGGTATAGAGGTGTCTGGTATAGAGGTGTCTGGTATAGATGTGTCTGGTATAGAGGTGTCTGGTAAAAGGTGTCTGGTATAGAGGTGTCTGGTATAGAGGTGTCTGGTATAGATGTGTCTGGTATAGAGGTGTCTGGTATAGAGGTGTCTGGTATAGAGGTGTCTGGTATAGAGGTGTCTGGTATAGAGGTGTCTGGTATAGAGGTGTCTGGTATAGAGGTGTCTGGTAAAAGGTGTCTGGTATAGAGGTGTCTGGTATAGAGGTGTATGGTATAGAGGTGTCTGGTATAGAGGTGTCAGGTATAGAGGTTTCTGGTATAGAGAGGTATAGAGGTGTCTGATATAGAGGTGTATGTTATAGAAGCGTTAAAGAGGAGTACAGTTTACACTTCTCTGGTATAGAGGTGTCTGGTGTAGAGGTGTCTGGTGTAGAGGTGTTTGATAAAGTGGTGTCGGGTACATGCCTGTTATTACTTAGGCCATTAACCTACCATTAACCAACCTAATATTGTTTTGGTTAATGACATGTGAAAATAATAGCATGCGCAGAAATAAATATTGAATTGGTGTCCGCTTGTTTCGTGTTTTGAAAATGATAATGTGGGACGGCTTAGTCCAGAGGTAGAGTACTACACGGTTAGGGTGAGGCAAAGGCTGCTGGGCATAACGCTGACCACATTATCCCCCCCTCCCCCCTGAATATAAATGGCGACAAGTCATCCTTGGAAAAATCAAAGAAGTTTCTTGTTGCATTTGCTGAAAAAATAAATTTTTTTGGTCGTAGATTTGATATAGCGGTTCAGTGTCTTGGCAAAATTTGCTCCCCTTTAAAGATTTCCATCGGAAGTACCGATAACTCTGGTGGATGTAACTGATCAAAGGGAGAGAACCACTAAATAAATCTAATCTACTTTAAGCTAGGTAACTTCCCCTGATTCCTCTGCACACAAGGTTACAAATAGACACAAGGTCACTCTCTCTACAACATACAACAGTAAAGTTACTCTAGCCAAACCATCTTCCCCTGCATTTACAACTGAATGTTAATAAAATTAAAAAGTTGACTACGTTGCATTTATAATATATCAACTCATCACAAGCATGGCCCAGAAAATCAGTGTTTCTTCCAGACTTTTTCTCGGGGGGGGGGGGGGAAGGGGGGGGGGCACTTGAAATATTCGGAGGGGGGGCGGTAGACTTTCTTCGGGGGGCGGACACGGTAAAAGTATATATTTTCTATTTAAATTATATACATTTCGTTCGGGGAGAGGGGCGGTAGAATTTTTTCCGGGGGGGGGGGGGAAGCTAAGCCCCCCGAAGAGATGCCTGGAAGAAACTGCCGATAATGATGCCCTTCCCATGTTAGCTCATCTCCTCTCAAGAAAAGGCAATCACCAACACCATCCAGACTAATACATGTAAACAGACAACCCCCTTGTATTCCTATAACCACCCAACCCCACCCCCAACCCCCACCTCCACAATGTCTTTTATATTCCCTTCCACCCAGACTTGTATTTCTTGTTTATCTTTCAGAAACAGCAGCCCACCTGTTTGTCAATAATCCCAAAAGCTTCCATTCATGTTACTGTATTGCATGTACACGCTGTAGGTCTCACAGACTAACAAGACTAATTTCCTACTTTTGGAAGTTAAACTTAAATAAGAAAAATACAAATTTCTAAACCCACATTTAAGAGGGTAGGCTCCGGTTAAAAAAAATATTTTTAATACTAGAGAGCAGTTTTCACATCGATGGTTCGTTTAGATTTAGATAGAGATTAGTGAGATCGTAAAACATCCAGATAAAATGTTTGTTGGAAGAACTAGATACATTAGCACCCTATTGAGCTGCAATAAGGATTAATTTTATGTCCTTCAAAGTATACCCAAAATGCTGTAGGCTATTTAAAACCTAAATAAACAAAGCTAACTAGATTGTGGCGTTTCTTTTGCATTAGAGTATATACTGACCCAATAAAAAAGTGCTTTTTTAACGTCTTAACCTGATGTATTAATTGTATTGTGCGCGTATATTACATAGAGTAACAAAGATCATAATAAAATAGGGCCTACAGTAATCAAACACATGTCGGTTTTTTTCAAAGTTTTGTATGTAAAAATTTTTTTTTGGAAAATGTCGAAGATTGAAGAGTGTATCTGAACATTGTGACAATGTCTGCTGATTTGTGACTGTAGCTTGGATTGTCCATGTCACCACTTTACATCGGGTTGTCCATGTAACCACTGTATGTCCTGTTGTTCATCTCACCACTGTACTAAGGGTTGTCCATGTCACCACTTTTCATCAATGTAGCTCGGGTTGTCCATGTCATCACTTTAGCTCGGGTTGTCATTGTCATCACTGTACATCGGGTTGTCCATGTCACTATTGTACCTCGGGTTGTCCATTTCACCATTGTACATCGGGTTGTCCATGTCACCATTGTACCTCGGGTTGTCCATGTCACCACTGTACTAAGGGTTGTCCATGTCACCACTGTTCATCAATGTAGCTCGGGTTGTCCATGTCACCGCTGTAGCTCGGGTTGTCCATGTCATCACTCTAGCTCGGGTTGTCCTTGTCACCACTGTACTAAGGGTTGTCCATGTCACCACTGTTCATCAATGTACCTCGGGTTGTCCATCTCACCACTGTAGATAGAGTTGGGACAACATTGAGTTTTAAAATGGCATAAACCGACAAACAGACATTTTGAACTAAATGCAAGTTTATAAATCAAACTTTGAAAACAATTGTAATAATTAGCTTTTAAATGCTGTTTCTCAACATCAGTAAGAGTTAGATAATTGTATACATTTTTCACATAAAGTAGTAGCACTTATTTGCTGGGAACATTTCGCCTATGTGTGTTTTCTTCAATAGCCAGCGGTTTTTTTACCAACTTACCTACAATTTCATTCTTCATTATCTTCTCCTGTTCGTGAACACGGCATGTTGGACAGATGAAGTAGAGTTCTTCTGCTACAGAGGCGTCAGCATATTGACCTGACCCGATTTCTAACTTGAAAACATTTGAATTAGCAGCTTAGCTCTCTACCTCTGAACCACGTTATTCCTTACAATTTATTTAGCCGGATTTAATTGGAACTTACATCTCAAATAATACATTATTTAAAATATATGAGAGGAAATGTGTTAACTTCACTCAAAATTATTAATGTACATAAACAGTTGTAAAATTTAGAAAAATCTAAACATCGTCACATATGTATTACTAGTTACATCTCAATTTAATATATGTATGCCGATTTATAATTGAATCAATACTCATTGTTGCAATAACTAGTCGTGTAATGTAAACAAAAATAAACAATAGTATTCATTCGTTGTTGATTATTATTTAAGCGAAGACACAATGATTAAAACATAGAGCAACAATTTTAAAAATCTACTTACTCGTCATAAAGAAATATATGTAAACAAAGATGTAGCCTACATAAAGTTGTATTTAATTCCATTTGTATAATGGCAATTTTATGTGTAAATAGTGCTTAACTCTTCACTATAGATGGCAAGGTCAATTAAATATAAGTATAAGTTTGAGCTCTATTTTTTATTCTATTAAAAATGCAATAAAGCCTTAGCAGATTGTCTTCATTATGTTTTGTAAATATTTTTCGTAAATTAAAAATGAAAGATAATTTTCTAAGAATATATAAAAAAACGAAAACAACTACAACAAATTTATCTTTGCACTGTAGCTGTGAAAATGATAAAAATAACTTCTAAACGATGTCAACATTTTGTACAAGAAAGAAAAATATTGTTTTGTATAAAAAGCAGTATTTAGCTGTAAGGAAAAAAAAAGTTGTTCATTCAGTATAAAATATCTATTAAATTGATGAAAATATGTATACGCTATGAAATCATTGTTAACATACGATGCTATGATCGTTGAGTTCTCTGTGTATTCGTCGAATCTCCACCGTGCTGTACCGATGCCCGGAGACACGATGTCTGAACGAACACCCTGACACCGTTGGCTTGCCGTAAGAAAACAAAGCGCTGTCTAAAACCTCCACGCCGGCTTTCTTGGAGCACATCCCGGTGATGTAAATATCTTCAAGCCAGAATAACGGCACTCTCTGTGACGCTTCATACAACAACCATGACGCATTTGCCGACATGACGTAAGCCGTACCTGATACGTAATCCGGATAAGTATCGTCAGGAAACTCCGAGATGGGGGTGTACGATTTTGAGTTAGTTGATCTTATTGGATGCGCTTTGATCTGTTTCGATCCTATTAGAAAAAGGTTTAAATTTGGTTTTATATCTTTCATGTGTCTCAAACTAGAAACTAAATGTGGGATATTAATATACATGTCGTCATCAGCTTTAAGAATATAACTTGCCTTTAAACAGTAAGTAGAAACATACTTGAGAATAGATACGGATTTTAGACTTAAGTTATTATAACTGTCCACATAATCTTCTTGCAAGATGTCGCCATACACAACTGACTCATTAAGAACTAACTTCTGGGACGTACGCACTTCAGCTGTAGATATTTCTGGTAGCCCAATGAAAAAGATCAGAATTGAATTATGGGAGTTGACTTTAGCGTAACTGCCCCAGGTCTCTCGAATTGTTTTTCGACCTTCAAAGTTGTCGAAGCGAATTGGGACACAGATAATTAACTCAATAGCTTGGTGGTTCTCACACGTCAATGTAGGAGTGATGACGTATTTATAATTATGTGGGTTAATGACGTGTTCAGTCAGGAATGGAAATTTAGAGAGAACTTCTTCACCGTAAGAAGACGGGGTTTTCGTGATGTTCTTTGACGCTGGATTCCATGTTTGTGTACGATTGTTTTCCAAGTTGGTCTTTACTTGGGGCGTATTATGGATCTCATTTCCCCTGCTGGTCGCGAGGTGTGTGTCAACATGTGCGAATATTGTGAAGAAACTACCGTCAGATGTGAGTATGTACAGGGCAGTGGTAGACACGACACACGTTAGTACAATGCTGAGCCTCACGTATTTCATTTTAGTCAGAGCTTGGAGACCCCCGGACATCGACCTGGAAGAGGGACGTGGGGAGGGGGTGTATTAAGTAGGCCGACATTTGAATATTGTTTAAAATGAATGAGTCTTGCAAAGTTAGACACATAGCAAGTTTAGATAGCTATATGAAATCTAACATTGATGTTTAAATAATTACTGTACGCTACTTTTTATTAAAATCACGTTTAATACCAGTTTAGCCTCTATAATGTGTGGCTTCAACTTTTGATATAAATCTGCTGTGCGGTGCTTAGTTTCTCATCAGTTGGAATTTTTTTTTGCATTAGGTTATGTAAATCGATAAATGTAAAGTACCGTTGCAAACCACACTTTTTTCGGGGCAAGTGAAGAACAGTTCACCTGTTTAAGTGACCTAAGCATATGCAGAGATATTGTGGTAAGCACTAAGCCCAGCAGCTTTTACTTTCTCGAACCTAAGTCAGGCACCCACTAGAGCTGAGTGAACTCAGATGCGTCTTAAGGACTCGAGCGCCGGGTTCACGATTGAGACTCTCATGTCAGCAGTCGAATGTTCGGAAACCAAGCCGTCTCTCTACTACGATATCAGCCGCAATTTACTTAAACCTTGTATGGCTGGTATGCTGGTAATCTTACCTGTTTTTTACTAACGCATATCAACAGCTGAAATTACCTCTCGCTTCACCAATAGGGCTTGTAAGTAGGTCACCAACTTCTTATCATACTAGCCAGCTAGTATTTTTCAAACCAATTGTGAATATGTTTATTAAATCGGTAAAAAAAAAGAAATAAATGTTACTTACGCTATTATTAAGTTATTTAAAATCGTAAAAACTGATAATGATCTTTGAATTCATCTGACCCTGGCTAACGAGATTTCAAATTTTAAGTAAGAGAAGCAAAGAGACTTACAAGCCCTATCTTGCACACTACACATCATATGGTAACAACGACAACAGTAACTCGACGTAGTATGATGGAGCTTATTAATAAATCAAAAATACGTTTACTAAAAAAAACTATTTGTATAAATAGTACTCAAACGTGTTGCATTTTTTTAACACATCAATTACCTCTATTGCCTAAATTGAAGAGTATTAACAAAGCTAAATTTTACTAGTAAATCGCGAAAAATCTATCATTGATTTTAACACTAAATAAAAGCGTGTAATTCAAATGCACACTGCAATATCTCATATAGATTCATCATGTTTTATTTCGTCGATCATTTACATTTCTTTATTTATTATAACGTCTTTTCAAAGTAAAGTTTTAAAATGCACTACATTTTGTATACCGCAATATAAGTCTTAAGTATCCCATTATACTATGTTAGAAATATTACCTTATGACGTTCCGTTTCATTCCGTTTTATTAGTTCATGTACAATCTCTATTGTATGGCATAGTACGTTGTAACGAGGATGCTGTTGAAAAGAGACATCTAAATAAATATGTGTGGATTGGCACTTTAGTCTTCATGCGAAACTAAGGCCTTAAAAGTGCTTTCACAGCTTTACGTCTCGTAGTGAATCGGATACAGCCCATACGACACTAAACAAGAAAATCAAAGAAGAAAATCAATAATACAAAAACAAGTCAATTATACAAATCAACAAAAGCCGAACTTCGAAAACAAGAGGGTTATTTTCTCATTAAATCTTAGCTCAACCTATTCAAATGTGATGACGATGATAGAATTTTGAATAAAAGCAATATTCACTGGTCATGTGACTTACCTCAGCTGTTTCGTGTAAGTAACTTTGTGACTAGGACATAATCTAACACACGTCATTGTCAATAGCCACAGAAAGTGACAAACATATCTAGTCAAACCTTTGCAAGAATACAATCGGTATCACAAAAACAAAAATATGTACGCTTTCGAAAGTCGTGTAGATATTGTCATAGCAAAATGTGGACACTAATGGTTGAAGATTTCAGATAACAATACAATGTAAAAACCCATTGTATGGCTACAATGTTCTGGCTTAATTCATCGTTGACGCTAAAACATACCATTCTAAACAGACTGACGCCAACTTCTAGATTACTCCACTAAAACATCTTCCCTAGGGGAAAATAGCAACATAAAAACGGTGGTGAGGGGAACAAGCTGGGAGGGGAGGGGAAACAAATCCCACAACATTGAAAATTCCCAATTCATACAAACAATTATATATATATATATAAACTATATATATATATAACTATATATATATATAATTATATATATATATAACTATATATATATATATATATATATATATATATATATATATATATATATATATATATATATTGCAGCATTATAGTTGCAACATTTTAAATGCATTGAAAATAAGAAAATAAATCCTAATTTGCTGTTTTTAATAAAAGCTTTGTAAGAGATCTCAGAAGCGACGAAAATTTTTATTAAAGACACCAAATTAGATTTATTTTCTTATTTTCAGGGCATTTAAAAGCTTGCTATTATAAAGCAGTAGCGGCATATGTATTACTAAACATTTTACCCGTTGCCGACCGCTTGGTGCACATTCATGGTGCCGTTTAAGCGAGAATTAAATTAGTGCCCAGATCCCCTGCGCAGGACACCCTTCTAATGAGACAGGTGTGAAGATAGTTAAAAGGGAACTTGTCGCATAGAGCTGGAGAAATCAACACGATCGCCGCGGTTCCAGTATATGTTTTGTATGGTAGAATTAAAGTTCATATAGGACATGGACATTTAATCCCCCCCCCCTCCCCCTCCTCCCTCTCTGAAAAGTTTCTCCCTGGAAAAAAAAAGGCAGAAAAAAAAGCTGAATCGAACTAATGTTGTTGAAATGCCTCAAGACAGTCAAACATACAAATTTACATATGTATAAGTTTATGCATATATATATATATATATATATATATATATATATATATATATATATATATATATATATATATATATATATATATATATATATGTATATATATATATATATATATATATATATATATATGACATCCCATTACCAACACTTGTTTTGCCACTGAAAGTGTGTAGACACTTTATATGACTATTTTCGTCTATAAGAGACTACGAATTCAAATGTTTTTACCAGTAGGTTTTGTGTTTGTAGGGTCGCTGGCCATTACGATGGTAAATCTCTTTTATTTATGGCCTAGGGGTGTGTTTTGTATGCTTTAAAGTAGGAGATAGTGCGAAAATAACCGACACTTTTATTATAATGGTTATATATTTCTCCTTTTACTGTCTCGCATACGAACTAAGCTGGGGGTATTGTAATCATTGAACTTGGATTATAATTCAAAGAGTAAACAAAGAAGCATAATTCTAAGCAAATATACAGAAATGAAACCAAACACCAGCCCTTCTTTGGCCTGGTATAAGAGTTTCTTCAAATATCTCTTCGTGGGGAGGTAAAGTGTAAGCTATATCTGCCGCTTCAACCTAACTGTCGAAGCATGTTCCCTCTTGCAGCGAAAAAAACCTTTAAAAATAAACCGAGAGTAATCTCCCCTAAACGTTCTCGAATATTCTTGTATAACATTACGGGGGATGGCAAATCGGGATAAAGACAATATTTTAAATCCATTTTTTATTACTTTTTAAAAAGAATAGAATCTCGTTGAAAAAGAATTACACACCAAGTGAATGCCAAACAAAATGTGTATAATAGTGCGGAATATTATTAGTACTTTATTAATTTACATGCTTTTTTTGAGAAATCGGAAATAGCCTAACTTACTACTTCCGTTCAACGGAAATTATTCAAAATTTGACGAAAGGCAGAAAATTAGGTCTTTTAATTACTTGTGAAAAATTGAAAGAGAAAAAGTTCCAATTCCGATTATTGGAAATCGCTTAAAAGTTGGTACGGATCTACAAAATTGATGTAATACTTATATATGAAATTCCGTCATTCTAGCTGTAACGGTAATCAATTTATCGTGTTTACAGACAGACACAAACACATACATAAACACACAGACATACGGACAAGATGGCAAAACTGTTTTTCTGACTCAATGATTACAATACCTTCTCTTTATTTTGTATTCGAGAAAGTAAAAAAGAGAAAAACTAAAAAAAAATTATAAAATCTGTACACTGTTTATTTCAAATTTTCATATTGCTTACGGATCGTTTGAGCAAACACAATAAAAAAGTCCAATCAAAATAAATGCATCAACATTTCTTTAAGCATCGTCTTCTACAAGAGAGCTGGGAGAAGATCTGTAGTATACATGGACATTTTTCTGCAGCCATCCAGAACGTGCGCCGCCTCTTAAAGGAGATCCGGCCTCCACACTGATCTCAAATCCACGTCGACGTAGCTGCTCCACCACATCTTTGAGTAGCTTGTTGTTGACGTGGGACAGGCCATCCTGACCTAAGGTTGGGGTGGGTGGTGGTGGTGGTGGGGGTGAAGATAACGATATCCCATAACGTATTTGATGCAATTTATAAACTTTATAAACATCACGGAATCAAATGTAAATTTTTGAAAGCGAATTTTAGTTTCGCTTAGCCGTCCGCCTCTGAAGAATTTCCACCGCCCCCCCGGACGTATAAATATATGTAATATATATATATATATATATATATATATATATATATATATATATATATATATATATATATATATATATATATATATATTGATGGGAGAAACACTGGTGAAAGCATATGTGTTCCGTATATATATATATATATATATATATATAGTTATATATATATATATATATATATATATATATATATATATATATATATATATATATATATATATATATTACATATATATATATATATATATATATATATATTATATATATATATATATATATATATATATATATATATATATATATATATATATATATATATATATATATATATATATATATATATATATATATATATATATATATATATACGGAACACATATGCTTTCACCAGTGTTTCTCCCATCATCCCGGAAAATGTTGTCCTCTCCCCCCCCCCCCCCCCAATATCAACTCCCCCCTCACCCCCACCCCCGCGGAGAAAACAGTCTGGAAGAAACACTGTTTTCGACGACTAGTCACTCATCACTCCTACTGTCATTAATTTTAGTATCACTGTTTTCATTGTACTTATTATTGTTATAAAGCCTCTAGTAAACTACTGTAGTGGTTAAATGAGGTATAGTCAGCGTTAACATGCATAAAATACATAATTAAGGGACCTCTTGTCCAACGAGACATAGCCTAGTCAAATAAATCACTCCGCAGCTGCGGCTAGATATTTGTGCTATATGACTCGGTAAAGCATGTTTGCCACAAGACATTGAAATATTAAATACATGAAAACGTTTATAATTACAAGCTTTTATAAATGCACTAAAAAGAAGAAAATAATACAATTTTTATTAAATTGATATAAAATAATTTTTAAAAATATAATAAATCTGTGATTACTTTATATATAAAAAAAATAATTTCTTTAAATATATTAATGCACTACTATTTATCTCACATTTATATTTTGTTTAACACTTATCAATATTTGTAAAATCTCTATCTTTATAAATCTAATTTAATGTAATAAAATGTCAAATCATCCTACCTGGCACTGCCCAGCTTAGCACGATGCCCTCCCTGGCATGTCTGGCCAAGTTGTCCAGATAAATATCTTCAAACTTGGCCGGAATGTGTTCACCCACCTCCACACTGATGACCCAGTCGAAGATTGGGAGGTTGTATTGGGGGACTGTTAGGTCTAAAAATAGCACCTGTAGAGTACGTTCATTTTGTAATACGAATACACCACTCCAATGACTGAATTATTTTTTTGAAAAACATTACCATACATAAAACATCCGAGGATAATAATAATTTTTGGGATGTCGTAATTAGTTGTTTGCGTAAATAGCAGTTGGATTTACCATTTTGTAAGTCTGTATACCCCATACTAACAAACATAAATGCCTCACTTATTAGAAGGTATGTTGTACTTAACTCGTGCATCAAAATTTAAATAGTCTGATACAGCTGAATCTGTATTTACACGAGTAGAAGGAATGTTCTGTAGAGCTAATAAATAACAAACAAAAACATATGTTTGTCAAAGCGGGTTTAGAATAGAAGTGCTTTGATGGTCTTTTTCTGTAAATTTATTTTACCTTTGGTAGTTGTAACAGCAAATGCTATCTGAAATATTTTGTATGTGAACATGTTTTGGATGTTATTTTCTTACACATCACTTTGGCTGAGCTTACCTTTGGTTTACGTTCATTTCCCCCGCTCGAAATTACATGAGTAGTATTTAGTTTGTCACCGTGTTACAACACCAACACCCCACATAGGTAGATATGTCATAATAAACAACCCACACCCCAAATACGTAATTCTATAACGCAATAACACACACAACCCTAAATAAGTAAGTATATCATGGTAAAACACCCCAGACCCCAAATAAGTAGTTCTCGAATGGTAAAACACCCTACACACAAAAAATAGGGAGTTGTATTATAGTAAAAAAAAAAATAATTAATTATATCATATTTAAACGCCCTATACCAAAAATAGGTAGTTCTTTCATGGTAAAAAACCACACCCAAAATAATTAGTACTATAATCGTAAGCACCCAATATCCCAAATAAATAGTTCTATTATGGTAAAGCAGCCCACATCACATATACGTAGGAAGTCACACTTACAGTTCCATTAGTGACCATCTCGCAATACGGAGCTCCATCGTAAGCCGTGTAGCTCTTGACCTCCTGCAGCGTGTCCAGATGCCTCTTGTACGCCCCAGGTCCCTCGCCAAAGCTCCCAACAGATTTGCCTTTAAAGAAGGTGCTCAAAGCTTTGGAAAAGCCCTTGTAGAAACATGAAATAATGCCTATCAAAATCCTATCAAGTTGGGTACGCCAAAACTGATGTTTCTGCAGCTAGACTTACACCCTACTGTCTTTATATTATTTCTCTACCGTTATTTATGTTAAAATGGCCAGTTGCCGATTGTATCACTGCATCACGTGTTCACAACCTGCATCATAAAAAAGATATCACGTGGCACGCATCGTGTATCTAAACATTTGATCTGCTTTTTTTAATATCGTAGATGTTCAAAAATATTGATCGATGTACTAATGCAGTGGTTCTGATTTTGATCGAACCAGAGGATTCGGTAAGTCAGTCTTAAGTGTTTGGTGGAGGTCAAGCACACCCAACTCATGATTCACGTTTGGAATTTTTTTTGTCTATGCGGACGATAGAACTATGAAGAAGGCTTCAGTTAATGCGTTTATGAAACTTGTGGGGTTCGGTATCTCCAAAAAGGTTTAGAACCACTGCACTATTTTTTAGTCTTTCTAAGTTACTTCCATTACAATTTACTGTAATCAAAGCTTTAATTAAACTCGTATGTTGTCACGTTGACATCAGACTATGTAACTGGTTTTGACTAAAAATAAATTAGCTGAGTGGATGGTATAACTCAACTATAGGGATTTGTAAAAAAAACAGAGGCTATTAGTGAAGTGTAGTAGGAACCCTCTGCATGTCAATGGTTTGACATGATTGTCCAGTAAGTCAAACAGTTACTGTGTTTTCAGTCCGGGGCCGCATTAACTATCAAATTTCAGTTCGGGGGCCAGTTTCTTCCTGGCATGTCTTTAATTTTTCTGGTCAAAGTTCCTCAGCTATCACCAACAAACGCTTTTTTTCCGTGGACAAAAATATCTACGCGGGCCGGATGAGAGGACCTCGCGGGCCGCATCTGGCCCGCGGGCCGTAGTTTGGAGACCCCTGGTGTAGACCAACGTTTAAATTCGTCTCGTATTAAGTCAAGTAAATCAAGCAGTTATCTCCTCCATTATTAAGTCAAGTAAGTCAAGCAGTTACCTCCTCCTGTATTAAGTTAAGTAAGTCAAGCAGTTACCTCCTCCATTATTAAGTCAAGTAAGTCAAGCAGTTACCTCCTCTCCTGTATTAAGTCAAGTAAGTCAAGCAGTTACCTCCTCCTGTATTAAGTCAAGTAAATCAAGCAGTTACCTCCTCCTGTATTAAGTCAAGTAAGTCAAGCAGTTACCTTCTCCTGTATTAAGTCTAGTAAGTCAAGCAGTTACCTCCTCCTGTATTAAGTCAAGTAAGTCAAGCAGTTACTCTTCCTGTATTAAGTCAAGTAAGTCAAGCAGATACCTCCTCCTGTATTAAGTCAAGTAAGTCAGCAATTACCGCGTCCAGTATTAAGTCAAGTAAATCAAACAATCACCTGGTCCCAGACATGTTGCCTGCTAGTCGGACTACTGGCATCAGCACACCAACCACCGTACTCAGACACCATCTCGTCCACCGGATGGCCAACCTGAAGTAAGAAAATACAAATCTCTGTTTCTTTAAATAAAATCCTTGTATCCTGCAATTCCTAAATACCATTAACCTCCTCTCGCATATGGTTAGGTTAGGTTAGCCTGTCACCCCTCCTCGGACATAGCTGACAAGAGCTTTCCATGCGTCTCTGTCCTGGGCTAGTCTCTCCAACTGTCCCCAGGTGTATCCAATCTTCTTGGTGTCAGGCATCTCTGTCCTGGGACATAGGCCGCTGACAAGAGCTTTCCAGGCAACTCTATCCTGGGCTAGTCTCTCCAACTGTCCCCAGGTGTATTCAAACTTCTTGGTGTCTTCTTCCAGTTCACGTCTCCAGGTCTTTCTTGGTGTGACCTCTCACATATAACCCTTCGTAATTGCCCAGTTGTACAACATCCATTTAGGGTAGGGATCAGGTCTAGTAATTGAACTGTGGTAGTTACGTTTGTAAAAAGACCTAAACAAAAGAGGATCGGAGAGTTAAGTCTCTCTCCGTTTCAAACGCCCACGTCTTATTAGCACACAACCT